TTTGCAGTTTTTGGCTGGGGCTGGGTTTGAACCCACCACCTCTGGCATATGGGGCCGGTGCCCTACTTCTTTGAGCCACAGGCGCTGCCCCGAGAATCACTAAGTATTTTCTGCTATATGTATGGGACTTGTTATGTTTTACGTTTTTATATTTTTTTTAATTGGAGTCATAGCTCCCTAATAGATTTTAAGCATCTTGCATTAAAGTCTCACACTTAAAAAGAAAAAAAAGGCATTCATATGTGGTGTCTAGAATGGTGCCTGGCCTATGTGGCAGGCATGTCTTTAATCATCCTTGAAGGGTGAAGGGAAATGCCATTTTGTCCCTAGAATTTGCAGTAAGTCCTTTCACCTTGCTGGATGTGAACATGCGTCTGGTCAGCCTGTCACCTCTGATGCCCACTCTGCTGAGGCTCTGACTGATGGCGGTGACTGCAGGCGGTCCTCCAGAGTGTGGGCCTGGCGGCTGTTTGTGTTGACAGCTCATAAGTTTTGGTGGACCCCCTCTGTCTGCTCTTGCTGGTGAATTCCTTTAAAACTCAGGGCAAGTGCCGTCTCTTTTTGACCTGATTTACTTTTTAAATCTATTCATTTTCTTACCATCTGAGCCACCTGCCTTCCGTTTCTGAAGACACAGCTTTGGAGTGAGTCTGTGTAATGTTTTGAGTAGTGAAACTTAATGCAAAGAGAATTGCATTGATCTCCCTGTGAAAGAAAAAGTGAAGATGGCCTGAAGTGTTGAACAGGGTGACTGTTCAGTGGCACGTCCTGATACGTTTTTATTCCTCCTGGTTATTGAGGGGGGTCCACTGATGTCTCTCGCTGATTTTTTTTAAGAAACTTCCATTTTTAGCTTGTGAATGTTCTTTAAATTATTTTTCATTGACTTCTAACTTGTACCTGATCTTCATACTTCGTGTCTTCTATTCCTCTTATTCAGTCTCCCTTTCATCTTTGGACATCCTTTCCTTCCCTAGGTCTTTTTATTTTTTAATTCTGCCAGTTATCTATACAGTGTTTTTGCTTAGTAAGAACCTGGCTTTCTGATTTGGCTCATGTACAGTGTTTGAAAAGTCTTTGAAATGCTTTTTCCCTATATTATAAATCGTTCATAACTCCTGTTTGATTGGCTTTTGAAGTATTCACCCAATATTGCTCTGGAAGCTTATGTCATCAAGGCTTCTGGCTTCACTGGGATGACCTGTACCGTGTTCCAGAAAGTGGCAGCCTCTGATCGTACAGGACTTTCGGATTTTGGGAGGCGGGATCCCGACGGAAACTTGGACAAGCAGCTGAGCTTTAAGTGCAACGTCTCCAGTACATTTTCAAGCCTGGCACTAAAAGTACGTTACAGTCTGTTAAAAATACTTTAAGACTCACGTATAGTTAGAGTGCACCAAATGTTTTCTTTTGTAAAGTAACCGTATTAGAGATTCTGGGGGGAAGTAGGGAAGTTTTGTTGCTTTTGCTAGTGCTTGGAAGGAAATTCAGACCAGGAAGAGCCATGTTATAACTTTCATGGGACCTAAATCTTTTTGCCTCTTGGTTCCCTTTTTCTCCACACAAAAATGTCAAAAATTACATTTGAGGACTGCAGTACTATAAAGGGAAAATATATTGATATTGCATAGTAAAACATCTTCTTTGACCTAAACATTTATTTCTTTTTGCT